CTCTGGATATAAAATAGAACTTTAGTGTTGGTATTGCTGTAGTGGTGAGTGAGTGAGAGAGAGAGAGAGAGAGAATATTATAATTAAATATTAAGCTAAAAACAACATACCTAATAGTGTTAACACGAATATTATTGGGCCCCAATTCCAGAGCCAATATTTCGGTCAACATATTGATACCCGCTTTAGCCGATGATGTAGTCGGTCCTAACATTTTAATCTAGAAAAAATGTCACCAATATTTAATTGTAATTTCAACATCGTAATAAGTATGATTATAATGTTTTGAGTAAATATTTTTATGCAAATATAAACTAAATGATAAACTATTGAAATCTAATTACAATGTTTTATAAAATTACTGTTATTAAATCAGACAATTAGTTTAGTATTAAATCTATTATTATAAACAATTATAAGTAAATACCGGTGCGATTGCTGTTATGGCAGATATATCAATAATAGTTCCGTTGGTTTTCTCCAGATGTGGAACCGATCGGTGAATGAGTTCTACGACAGCGCGTAAATCGACGGCAAATACTTGATCCCAAACTGACATTAAGTCCGGTTGAGTGATGTTCGCTAGTTTATATAAAGCGGCGTTATTGACCAATACATCGATTTTGCCAAACGTTTTGACCGTAGAATCAATTAAATTGTTTACATCAGAGGTTTTGGTCAAATCTCCCACAACTTCTAATGGCTGTCAGAAAATAGTTGTTGCGTTAAAAACTTATTTTTAGATAATTATATTTAGAAATACCTTCAGTTTGAGTGGTGACAACTCCTGAACCTCTTTGGCCACTCGTTGAACTTTAGTGGCAGTCGTTCCACAGACCACAACATTAGCCCCTAATATTGAGAACAGTTTAACGATTCCCTCTCCGATGTTCGACGAGGAACCGGTCACTACAACCACTTTCCCCGTGAAGTCCCGGGACTTTGCGACCGCCTTATAGTCCTCTATAGGATAGTCTGCGCTCACAATACAAACCAATCCACACATCAATGCTATTAAGAATTTCATAATTGGTATTGAGTTTTAAAGTATAAAATTGATAATTTATTTATATTTTTATTGTTTTTGTGGAATGAATTCACTGATTTATATAGTTGCAATTTGTATACTACATACGTCTATTTTATCTATATTCTTTTAAATGTCATTCACAGATTTAGTGCAATATTAGTGTATATTTTATCTTAATATAATGGATAAGGCTTTTTCTGGTGTTTACTTATTTCTTAACAATTATTCGATTTAAAATTAATATATTTTATTAAGGTAGCTTTATTTGTACCACTAGAACTAATTACACTTTGAATTTATCAATTATGCACTTTAATTTATCATGAAAGTGACCAATTAAGACATATATTTATTTGACAAATAAATTAATCCCAATTTTTGGTGCAAATAAATTTTTAAAGTTATTAATTACCGGTATTTATATATTTTTATAAACCAAAAATTGTATTAATCCGATATACAATTAACCCCCGAATGGACATAATGTCAGGGAAACAATATTAAAGATTTCACAATAATTAGACTCAACTTAATACAATTTAATTAATAACTTTGCTATCGTTTTATTGTTGTTAATTAATCTGTCGATTACATTGTTTATTGCATTCATAAATCCTATACTAACAACTTTATAATGATGATTGTTATTTTATTTCTTATTTGTTTATATTATATTTTATTTAAAACGCAAGGTATATTCTAAATAAACTAAACAGAATAATTAGTATTATTATATTCATGTATAATTTTACAACAAAATATAATATAAACACAATGGAATGATTATTTAATTGTATAATTTATCACAAATCATTTTATTACTTATTAATAAGAAACGGTTAATTATATTTTGATGTTACACTTATACTTTGTTTAAAAAACAATGATTTCTAGTAAAATTGCTCTAGAATCTAGATGTTGCATTAAAATCAATATTAAACTAAAGAATCCATGTTATATTGCGAAAGGAGTTAGTAGGGGTAAGTATTTAATTTATCATACACTGCTGAATTGAGATTAACTAACATTTAAATTATAAGAATTAACTGTGTAAGTTATAACTTATGACTCATAAGTATTTTTAAGTAAAGTAAAGTAAAATTTACAATACTGTATACTGTACAATACAAAATTAATTGAAAATGTTGCCATAATAATTGGTTTAGGTTCTAAGGGTTTTTATGATTTTAAGCAATGTTAATAAATATAATAAATAATTTTATAAATAATAGACTTTTTTAATTTAATAATTTTTTAATTGCTTATTTTAATAAAGTTATACATGTATTTATGTATGTTTTCAAATTACGACGAGTTTACAATACATTCATAGCTCCGGCGTTGAAAATACATCCGCCCTCTACTAAGATATTAGCGCCGGTAATAAAGTGGGCGTCAGTGGAGGCCAGGAATGCGACCGCACGGGCGATGTCTAGGGGTTGACCCACTCTTCCCAATGGCGTCGCTTTAACCATAACTTCTTCGAGAGGAAACGGAGCGTCTCTCACATGTGTTAAAC